CTCACACACACACACACACACACACACACACACACACACACACACACTCAAAGAGAGCGCCCACATACACACATGAAGTTCCATCCTGCCAACGTGGCTCTCCCCGGGGCACGCGCACGAGGAAACACAATCAGACTTACTGTCACTAACACGAAAACACAAAAACACCTTAGCATTCGCACTTAAATGGACACAGTAATTGCGAAGAGGCGTTTTCGCTCGGCAGACCCATCCACCGAACAAAAGGACACGCCCATGAGGAAACACAATCAGACAAACATGAAAACACACAAACACCAGAATGGAGTAATCGAGAAGAGGAAGAGGAAGAGGCTCCCGTGCAGACATTTCGTACAGAGCCACACCATGCTGTTCGCAGAAGGCTATCCTCTTTCAACTCCAAAATAGAACGCCCGGTCATTATTCATTATCCCTCCATCTAGACTAAAAGTTGCACCAAATACAGATATAACGACCGGGCGTTCTATTCGAGTGAACACCCGTAGAAGCCGGAATTGGTCTCCTAACAATACACCAGTAGTAGAACCGATCCATCATTGCTAATTAACAGAAATTACTGCAGTATTAAAACACCACGTTTGTATCTGACATCATTGCTAATTAACATATTAAAAATTATTAGAACACCACATTAACAGAAATGTGAGCAAGAAAACGACAATGGTTTTTTTTTTTGTTTTTTTTTTTAAACCAATACCCAAGAAAACGACAATGGTAAGAAACCGAGAGGAGAAAGAAGAGGACGAGAGGAGAACGAAGAGGAAGGAGGAGATCTCGTGCCGGATGAGTAGCAAGAGAAGGGTGAGAGGGACATCTAACATCTATCCTCGAACAGATGACCTACATAGGCATCACGTCTGTATCTGACATGAAACCTGACTTCTATGTCTGTATCTGACTGGAAACCTGCCTACCATGCTGTATCTGGGATCTGAGTCCAAACCTGACCCCTTGCCGTGCTATCCCAAGTTGAACAAACTGACGTCTCCTGCAAACGAACACTGGTCAATACAAAAAAGGCCGACTCCTACCGACTCCTACCGTCTTCACTTGGATTGAACGCAAGGTCATTATTTCTGTATCTAGACTGATAGTTGCCCGAATGCAAGGTCATTATTACTGCATCTAGACTGAAAGCTGCCCAAAACAAATCGATAATGGCCGTGCGTTCAATTCGGGGGTAAGAAGATGGGAGGGCAGCACAGCATGGGGACGGGAGCAGGAGACGAAAGAGCTAATATCAGGGCAAGCGGGAAGCTTGTTGTTTGGGTTGGGGAGGGAGGGGAAGGGGGGGGGGGGGGGG